TGAGGCTGTTAGAATGCGCGGATTCGGACGACTCCGGAATGGAATCGGAGACTTAGCATGGAAGGACCTTGGCCTCAGCGACTCAGGCGGAGCGCTGTGCCATTGCTGGTTGTCTTAGGGGTCCCTAATTTCGGATCTAGCAGAGGGAAAGTCTCTTGGGGGAATTCATGTCGATTTCGGACTGAGGTTACAAGTTACTAGGTACATTGTATATAAGGAGGGGTCCGGAATCAAAAGGAACAAGGGTAGGACAAAAGGAGACAAAGGGAGATGGAAAGAGGAACAACACCGAGGGTCAAGTGTTTGACTCAATGGTGTTTCCCAAAGGAGGAATGAAGGGCCAAGACCCAAGAAGGAAGGAAGGAGGATGGGAGTTGGGAATGGCTAGCTGACTGAATAGAAAGGAAGCAGCAGCCCAAATAGGAATGAGGGAGAATAGCGGAATTGAAATGGACAATGCAATAGTTGCAAGGTCCGGAGTAAGTCCGGAAAGTCCGAACTCGGAGGTTAAACTCCGGAATATTGGCAAAGGTAATTAAATGGAATGAGCTAACCAATACAATGGGTATAAGTGGAGGTGGGGTCAAAGCCCGAGGTCGGAGCTAAGACCGGAGGTTCCGGAGACGAGACGTGAACAGAATACCGGAGCGGAGGCCCGGAGTTGGGAGCATAGGTTTTGCGTACTCGTCTGGAAGGTGTCGAGGTTGGGGTCGGACCCGGAATGTTCCGGAGTCGGACCGAAGGTGGTGTCCGAGCCGGAGGTGGGATAACCTCTTGGGAGTCGGCAAGGAGAAGGTGACGGAAGGGAAGTAGGGCTCCGGAAGTCGGAGTTCGGAGTTCCGGGAGCCCGGAGCGGAGGTCGGGATTGCATGGATATGACAGAGGCTATGCAGTCTTTTTAAGTGGCACATGTTCAATTCTCACTTAGGGAAACTTTTTTTGGGCCCTCCCATGGAATAATTGTGTGAAATGGTTGTTTTCTGTACACTAAGGAATGGAGGGTATGAAAAAAAAAGTTTCCTGAGTGAGAATCGAACATGTGCCACTTAAAAAGACTGCATAGCCTCAGCTAACGCTATACCACTTATGCCACCAGGCACAAACAAGTGACTGGTAACTAAGTAATATATAAACTGTTAAACTTCGTGCACCCCCGGATATTGACTTCACAACCTTGGATGTGCTCCCTTAGTCTCCACGGGTTGGGTTGGGTGCAATGACCGCATGCGTAAATACTAAAAATTATATTCCGTAACCTATGTACAACTCATTACAACTTAGCGTGGGAACATCACGTGTTGCAAGTTGTACCAGTCGCTCAACAGATTTCGGAGGGCAACGTAAGTTGCGGCTAAACCTCGGAGAAATCATGTGAGCGACTGGGAAGGAGTCTGGGTCAAAATTCATTTTCGACAAACTCCACTACTTTTCTCCCTGCGATACCCATGTATCGCCGTTCACTTCAAAGTAACGGCCCACACTCACTTATTCCCTAAACCCTTTCTCTCTCCTTCACCAACATGTACAAAAATCGCCCACTTTAAAGTGGTGACAACAAAACACTCATTGATAATTTCAAACTCAATGTAAATCAATTATTAAAACTTTGTTTTCTTCACCATCAACCTTGTATGCGTCACAAATGCAACGCAAGGGGGGAGAATGTCAGGGCAATAGCCCCAAACCCTGAGCCACATGTCATTAGATACATATAGTCACGTGGGTAAGTGGGACCCTCTGGGTAACTGCTTACACACTACCGTAAAATACACACACTTGTATCACTTACGGCCCTCTGTGCTGAGCTACCCATAGACCTCACAGACACTGCCTTTGGTTGACTCCAGAACATTCCAGGTCCGACCTCAACCTTGACACCTTCCAGATGAGCACGCAACACCTATGCTCCCAACTCCCGACCTCCACTCTGGAATCCTGTTTGCATCTCTGTCTCCAGAACCTCCAGTCTTAGCTCCGACCTCGGACTTTGACCCCACCTCCACTTATACCCATTGTATTGGTTAACTCATTCCATTTAATTACCTTTGCCAATATTCCGGAGTTTAACTTCCAAGTTCAGACTTTCCAGAATTACTTCAGACCTTGCAACTATTGTATTGCTCCATTCAATTCCGCTATTCTGCCTCATTGCTATTTGGGCTGCTGCTTCCTTTCTATTCAGTCAGCTAGCCATTCCCCACTCCCATCCTCCTTGGGCCTTGGCCCTTCACTCCTCCTTTGGGAAACACCATTGAGTCAAACCCTTGACCCTTGGTGTTGTTCCTCATTCCAGCTCACTTGTAACCTCCATCCAAAATCGACTTGATTTCCCCCCAAGAGACTTCCCCTTTGCTAGATCCGAAATTAGGGACCCCCAGGACAACCAGCAATGGCACAGCACTCCGCCTGAGTTGCTGAGGCCAAGGTCCTTCCATGCTAAGTCTCCGGTTCCATTCCAGAATCATCCGAATCTGCTGTATCTAACACAAACCCACCATAAGGTTTAAGATGCTAGACTGCAAAACCTTTAGCAGGATGACCCAGTTTTGCACTGGCCATGCACACATCAGCGAATACTATCGCCGGTTCAACATCCTCACTCAGGAAAAGGAGTGCACATGCAGACTAGAGACACAAACATGAGAACCTCTATTGCAGGTATGCCTGAAGTACAAAAAGTATACTGGGTCACAGTTCCCAATCCAGGTTCAGCACTCTCATGGGAAAACCGAAAGGCATACTAAGATTGGCTGAGTTCCTAAAGAGGTCCCACATGGCCGATCCCAGAAACAGACCAAACACCAACCCCATCATGTGCCAAGGACAGTGAGCAGCCAAGGAGTGGAGAGGAACATGAAGGACACAACCAGAGCAGCAGAAGAAACAACCCCATGTCAGGATCCAGACCCCAGCTGGGTGTGGCCAGAGGGCGAGGCTGGGTGTGGAAGCTGGGGTGCTCTCCCCAGCTGCTAACTCCTCAAAGTCACTGAGGGGACTAGCCTCAGCCTTCACAGGGAATGAGCTGAGAAGAAGGGTAAGCTTCTCAGCCCCCTGTGAGGCCGACACAAAAGGACCCTAGGAACTATACAGTTCCTGCTTGCTGCCCGACTTTCCATAATGGGTGTGACCCGTGGGAAAGTTCTGGGCAAGCTGCTCACCCAGAACGTTCCCACAGGTTCACATGCATGCATCATTGTGTGAACCAGTGGGGGGAAGGATAGGGGGAATGGGGAAATGTGGGGAGAGGGTGGTTAGGGAAAGGGTGAGGGTGTCCAAGGGTGAGTGTCACGACCCGACATATCCGACACTTCCCTCTACGCGTCCTAGTGTCACTTGGCCCGTCCCTCCCGCTATCATCATCATCCGTCCACCCATCCGTCCACCCGTCACCCTCATCCGCACTTCCTCCCTCGCGCGCGTACCTCCCAACCTAGGTTGCCCGCTTCATTGTTGTCCGCCCCCAGCCGGACAGCTTGCTAGACGGCCGGATGGCCTTTTCTCTTTTGTCCGCTTGCGGACTATTGTTCCTCCTATTGTTCCTTGCTTTCCTTTTGTTGACCAAGTTTGCCGATATTGATTATTTGTTCCTTTCTTCATTCATTAATATCGTGCTTGATCCGCCACTCCTTCCGGGCCGCTCTCATTTAGTTACTTGTGTTTATAACGCGTGTAGGTTACACCGGATGTACCTCAGTTCGTATATCGACTTGGATTCCCCCTCTAAACTCTTATCCTCATCGTAAGGCTTCTGTCTGAAATTGGGACACCAACGTAAGAACGAAGCGCAGCGCTCCACCCGAGTCGCTGAAGCTAAAGTCCCGCCCCTCCGACCTTACGAGCCCGGACGACTTCGCGCGCCTCGCGGGTCACCCGGATACGCTTCTGGCACGTTCCTGACAGTGAGTGGGGTCAAGGGCTATGCCCTGACACCCCACTTACTCCCCCAACTCCTGACCTGACTCTACCCAACCAGAGGATTTCACACACCTGACTACACCAACCAGAAACTGTTGGAGAATATAATATGTTCCCAATAGTATAGAGTTTAACAGCCTATACCGGCATGGCTCAAGGGCGAGTAGTGTATGGATGCACGCTAGAGGTCCTGGGTTCAATACCAGGCTTGTCCATGATTTTATGTCCTTGCCATGTGACCTGGATTTGAAGCCATTTGAATTGGAGCTCCTGATAAGTCCAGTAGTTGCACCGGATACAATTTCGACAGAAACTTCTTCATGTAATGATGATCCCCTCATGTACACTATGGTGTAAAGAGCTGGGATAGCTGCACTGCCACGTGATAACGAGGCCACGGGGTAATAAGAGAGTACACATGTTGGAGAAACCATCAGGGATGGGTCAACCCCCCCTGGCATAACAAGTGAGTAGTGTATGGATACATGCTAGAAGTCCTGGGTTCAATACCAGACTTGTCCATTTTATGTCATCTGTCCGGTCACCTGGTTTACATCATTAGAATTTGGAGTTCTGGATAAGTCCATGTAGTTGCACTGGATACTGTTGGAGGAAGGGATCAAGTGATCTCCCAAACCATCAGGGAAGGGGTACCCCCCCCTGGCATAATGGGCGAGTAGTGTATGGATGCACGCTAGAAGTCCTGGGTTCGATACCAGGCTTGTCCATTTTATGTCATTTGTCCAGTCACGCTGGTTTACGTCATAAGAATTTGGAGCTCCGGATAAGTAGTCGCACCGGATACAAATTTCCTCAGATACAAATTTCCTCAACACACACATAAGTTGCATACCTTATCAACGGGACAGCCGCACTATCAAGATAGATTTTCCATCATCATCACCAGGGTCATGCCACCATTTCCAGCATCCAAACACTTTGAAGGACAATTTAATTCTGAAGTTTGTTGAAAACATTTTGAGTGCAATTTTCGGCTTAGACAACCAATCATCATACAGCTAGCCCCCTGACCAAGACTCCCAACTCCTGCATTGGTCACTGCATGCCAGCTCTGCTGGTGGCCTTTATGGGCACACCGTGGGTGCGGCGCAAAAGAACTTGTCATAGTAGTTCTGGATGGGCCCCGAGCAATTACCCGCATTGAAGCGTGGATCAGGACCAGTTCGGAAACAATCTCCGCTAGCTTGGTTGGTGTTCCAGTAGTTAAGGTCATCAGAAACCGTAACCGTAGTATCGCAAATATTAAACTTCAGTGGGTACCCGAGGGGTACGAGAGTGGAGGCATATTTGTGGATTTCACTTGCCATCGGTTTACAGCTGACTGTTGGGTAAGACATTAGTTAAATAGGAGCAAATTTCATTTCTAACTTCGGCTCACGATTCCGCGATGCGACTGTAACCCACCATATGCTAGACCAATCGCTGCCATCGAGGGGGTCTTGAGTGAGTATTCCACCATGGAAATCAGCCGCAACGATGGGAAGTAGTAGACCCGTTGGGAACAAGGAATTCCAGAATCGCATCGAGACTTTTGACGAACTGCTACTATTATTCTGGCAGGTAATGTACGTGGCATGAGTAGCTATGTATGCCACATGAACCAAGGAGTTCTCACCTCGGTGTGGAGAGGAATGCGTAGAAAATGGGGAGACAGCCAGCAGGGCTTCTTTCAGAGGCTATATACCCCCAACCTTTGAGGAATGAAATATTTCTTGCATAGTGGAAATCCAAGTGTTTCGCTGGTGAGTCATTGATATCGCTGATATGATGTAATCATGGAGGTATATAGAACACAGGTGCGATCAATATTGCAGTTGAGTTGAGACCACCAAATATTCATTACATTGAAGGACTTTTTCTCATCCACACCATCAGCAGCTCGGTCATCACATATAGATAGGTCTATTTTTCTTTCAAACCTTCCGAATCAAATCCCAATATTGGGGCTTCATCTTCCATCGACCATGCCAATATTTCCACGGGCAATTTGTTTCATGTCAACCGTGCGATTAGGGATGGGCAAGGCATGGCGTGGGAGTTGGCATGGCTGGCTCTATTGTTGAACAGGAACGAGGCGTGTCCGAGGGAAATTTCGTGCTAGGTTCCAGTGGTGTGTGAGTGAGTGAGTGGTCACCAATCACTGTTCGGCCATCGGACACCCCATTTGCAGGAGATATCAGACCCTAATGTTGAACGTTTCCCGCCCTGATCACGCCCACATGCACATCGCAGTCGATATTTGTACCTTCTCATCGTATCATTAATGTACTTGATATTATGCTGAGTGTTATAGATTGATGCGGTATGTCGCATACAGTGTTTATTGTAACGCCAACCATCAAGGGTATGTGCTTAGGATCTCAGAGTCATGAGGTTGCACCAGGGATGCATCTGGTTTCCATGTTAGCGTATTGTTGTCGCTTAGCGGTTGGTTTTCGGCACTGCCACTTACGGGAAGTGCGTACCCCAGTCTTATTGGGGCTGTTTATTTGTTGGGCAGTGTCTGACCGTGTGTCATCCTGGGGCGAAGGTGCTGCCTTCTCCCCTGCCCTGCGTCCATGCCTCTAGGTATGCGCGGAGGTTTGGCCCTTCCACAGGCCCGTGCTCCTATGAAGAGGATTCTTCGCTCGGTCGTCAAGCGTACGTACTCCCAGTATTGCGTCGTAACAACCATACATGATGCACGATCGATTGTTCTTCGTTCCCATCTGTGGAATGAGTGGGTTTGGAAGTCCAAGGAGGGGAATGTGCATGGCGTGAACGAAGTCCGGAGAGATCATGTCCGTTTTCGCTTCACTGTCAAACAATACGAAGGCTTTTACACTGGCGATTTCTACTTCTCTAGTGAGTATGCGCCTGAGTGCCGATGGTCGATCCTCAGGGTATTTTCCAGCTTCTCACGAAATGCGAAACTTCGCATGGTTTCCCCAGGAATTGACGTCCCTGTGGGGGCCTCGCTCTTGGCTCCCTTCCCTCTTTCGGGTCAGGGAGACTCCATCTCGCTCGAAGGCTTTGAACTGGCTCTTCGACCAGTTCTGCTGCGATTTGCTCGTCGATGAATAGTTAGTTCAGTTGTCTGGCTGTGGAAGTTCTTGTCTTCGGGGTTATGGGTCCGAAATAGGTGGCCCTCCTATTCTATCATTTCGGGTTGTGCGAATGGTCTCGTGCGGGTCTTCGACCGGTTCTTTCTCTTGCCCTTCTAGGTTTTCTGCTGTCGACTCATGCTTCTCGGGCTTTGGATTGTTCTGATTAGGGCAATCACGCATGTATCCAGGTTTCCCGCAGTTATAGCACCGCGGTGTTTCTTTCCTGGGATTCAGCTCAATTTTGCACAGTTATATATAAGGGTGGAAATACTGCTGTGGAATAAGGATATTATGATTGAGGGGCAGAAACCGCTGGCGAATAGCTCGGAAAACTGGGGATTTCGTTGTAACGCGTTACGATGGTGTTATGGGATTGTGCTGCGTGTTATGAGGTGTTATGGGGATTTTGCTGGATGTGTTATGGGGTGTTACACAGTGGGAAGTAAATCGCGGTACGGTACTGAAGGTCACTCTGCCTCCCCATAATTATATAAAATGCGCCACTTTTGCTTATGTGTTGTTTACAGTTTTCTCTCATCTCACTAATAAACAATTGTCTCACTCACTGCATTTTGAGGAAAAATATCCGAGGTGATATCCGAGGTCGGACGTGTTAGTTAGTTGCCTAGTTACCGACTCTACATGTGTACACAAGACCTTGCGCTGGAGTGGGCATGTCCCCCAGCTTTGTTATCGACTAGGTTTTGGGGGCATTCCTTGTTGTGAGCATGCATGTGTCAGGGACAGCTCCGAAAGCGGCGAAGTCCCGGTGCACGGGACTCGTTGGGACAAATAGCGGCTATGCATAGCGGCGGTCCTGTCGTGGGGTGAGCATCCCTGACCACTTGGTCTGAAGTGGGAATGTGAGAAGAAGGCTACTTCTTCGGTTCCCACTCCAGCTGTTATTATATACATGCAGGGTTGGTCATGTGGGGTGTGCCACATCACCCTTGCACACAGCTGTGGCTCTCTGGGTGTTTCCATGGGAGATCCCGAGAGCATCTGCTGTAGGTGCAAGGTGAGTGCGGTGGCAGTGGCAGTGATGTAGGGATGGTAGGTACAGGAGGGGCATGTGGCATGCATGCGCTGGTGGTACATTGAACAGAGGAAAAGGTGGTCCATGTAGGAGAAAGAAAGAAAGAAGGAAAGAAGAAAGAAGGTGCGGTGCAGTGCAGCACAGAGTGGGGGGCAGCAGAGCGGGGTCAGGTGGGGCATGCCCTGACATCCCCCCCTCCTTAAGCCACTTCCCCTCGAAGCAGCAGGGTGGTCTTAAATCTTCCACTAGGTTGGGGGCATGTCAGGGACGCATCAGGGGTGGAGGGGGCCTGGATGTAACGCCTGGCAGAGGGACCCTCTCGGGGAGGAAAGCGGGCATGCATGCTGACGGGCCTGATCTGGGACTGTAGTCCCTGGCCACTTAGACTGAAGTGGAAAATGTGAGAAGAAGGTTACTTCTTCAGTTCCCACTTCAGGTACATTGATGTACATGCGGCTTGGGTCACATGATGGGTGCCATGTCATCCTCGGAGAGAGCTGCAGCCATCCAGGTGTCCCTGCAGGGGATCCTGAGGGCGTCCGCTGCAGGCATGCATGCTAGGCGTAGTGGTAAGTCGTCCAGGGTGTCTGAGCTGGATGGGTTAACAGTACAATGATACAAAGGAAAGTGGTCTGTGTAAAGGAAGGAATAAACAGAAAGGGAGAATGAAACAGAGTGTCATATCCGCGCATACCCGACCCTGACCCGACTTCCGGACCTCCACCCTCTTCACCTCCGGAGTCATAACCTACCGTTGCCGTTCCGATACTCACCTTTGGTCCTGGCAACACACCTCCTCCTTACCTCTCACCACCCTCCTACTACTCCGCTCCCCCTTCACAACACCTCCACCCACCCATTATCCTCCTACGCTTCCCCCGTCCACTCCGATACTCACCTTCAGACCTGACTACTCTCCTTTCTGCCACTCCTTCTCCCCTTACCTGTCCCCTCTCTCCTCCCTCCGTTACTCCTCCGCCACCCTTCCGCCAAGTTACGACCTTCCACCGCTGTTCCGTACTTCGCACTCGGACACCGCTCGTACCTTACTCCGAGCCTCCGTCATAGTCCCTACCTCGGACTTTGACTCCACCTCGGCCTTAGTCCATTGCATTGGTGACCTCATACTACGTAAACACCATTGCCAATATTCCTCAGACTTCCAACCCCGCCTCCGTAACCTCCGTAAGCTCCGCAACCCCCGAGCTTCACGGACCGCCTTCGGCACTCTCGCCGCCTGTAATGTATTTCTCGCGTTTTCCCTTCATCCCTATTGGACTACTGCTTCTTTCTATTCTAGCCAGTTAGTCATCATCCCCACTTCCCCTCATCCTCCTGCCCCTCTGGGCCTCGCCCTCCCTACCTCCTTTCGGATGTATCACAGGTCCTGCCTTATGACCTTCGGTACCTATCCGCTCCCTCTACCCTTTGTTCCCGTTCGGATGTCTTCGTTCCGATTCGGTTACCCTTTGTTTCCTTGTGCTTTTGCCCCTTCCATTATATATATCGGTGCTTGTACATACTCGTTTTGGTTTAGTCCGAAATCGACCTGAAATGCCCCCTAGAGACTTCCTGCTCACCTACTGTGAAATTAAGGACCAAATGGACAAACAGCAATGGCACAGCGCTCCGCTTGAGTCGCTGAGGCCAAGGTCCCTCCACGCTAAGTCTCCGATTCCACTCCGGAGTCGTCCGTTCCTGCCCAGTTCTAACACAGAGGAGGAAGAGGAAAGAGAGAAAAGGGAAGAGAGAGAAGGAGGAGAAGTGGGAGGAAGGAGGAGGGAGAAGGATGGGTAGCGGGGGAGCGGGTGAGGTGGGCCCAGGTGGGCCCAGGTGGAGCTGGGTCAGGCGGGTGTGTCCTGACATCACCCCCTCCTTAAGCTGCTTTGCCTTGAAGCGGCCAGATGGTTCTCTCTCTCTCTCCCTGGGGCTTGGGGATGCATCCTGTGGACTTCCTCGATCCAGTCAGGGGCATGGGCTAAGTGGTCCCATTGGAGCCATTGGTTCTCTGAGCTTGGCCAACCAATGAACTTTACCAGATACCAGAGTTTCCAGCGTAGCCACTTAGAGTCCAATACCTTCTCGACCTTGTACTCTTCCTCTCCATCTACAAGTTCCGGACCTGGGTGGGGGTCAGTGGGTCGTTCTGGGATATCATCTGGGCAGTGTGGTCTGACGTTCATTATGGATACGACCAGGTGGATTCCCTTCTGTTGTGCGGTAAGTTGGAGTTTGACAGCAGCAGGGGAAATGACTTTGACAATCTTGAAGGGGCCGAGCCATTTGTGGTCCAACTTTTTGGTCAGATGGTCAGTTGTGTAATTTTGCACGCTGAGCCAGACTCAGTCACCTTCTTGATACTTTGGGGCTGTTTTGCGGTCTCAATCATAGTAATGGGCCA